AAAAAAAAAAAGCAAGCTCAATTTGAAAAAAAACATAATGTAACCTTCCATATTGCTCTATTCATCATAACAAAGAGCAAAGTGACTAGGCCACTGTCTCTCCTTTCTGTTGTGTGTTATCTCAGTTATCCAGCTTTTAAATGGCAATTTTAAATGGCAGTTACAAGCAATGCCTCCTTCCTGGGAGCTATGCTATTATTTCTAAATAGCATTTTTGATTCCTTCTCTGAAAATAAGAGAAGATATTCTTCAGAGCTGAAAGGTTAGATAAAAAGATTCTCTAAGGAAATGTTGCATTATAGAGCTGTAGGTGACACCCATATGTGAAGACCAGCTCATTTTTTTCCCTTCTGTTCCATCAAAGCTCATAGAAAAAGCAGGACAGCTCAATTTTAGCTAACGGTCAACTTATTCAATACCAGATTTCCCATTTATATTTGAGACCTTAAAAATTGCAAGACAATCCATTCTTATTTTGAAGCAATTGTGTGATTACTGCATCTGTCATCTTGTCTTGTTCTGTTAGCTGTGTATTTTCACAGCTATATTTGTGAGTGTGTATTATTGCCCACAGTATTGCTACTTAGCTCCTCGTAGGCCCAAGTACTGAGCATTTCAGCCACTCACCGACCTCCACAAAGCTAGCTCTGTGTCCTGTGTTTCAAATAGAGACTGAGAGCTTCAGGATGCTTTTTTCTGACAAAGGAATATGTTGCTTCATTAGAAGGCTTCCATAGAACACGTGTTGCATTTTTTGAACAGCTGTAAGGAGAGCCTGTCTGTTGTTCCTCTGGATATTTACGTTGCTTGAATCAATGTTATCTACTGTTCAGAGCATGTAAGATTATTAAATCTATGTGGAAAAAAAGATAAGGGAACTAAGCGGGATGTTGCAGTTCTTTTTACAACACAGAAGACTTTTTAGTGATGTAAGCTGTGTTTGGTCTTGTACATTCTTATCTTCTGTTAATGTAATGAGAGAGAATTCTAATTTCAGTGCTAAAATATAATTATAATGCATGCAGCATTTATTTGGATCCATCTGAAAAACGTATTTGCTTGTCACATACGATTTCTTGCAATTCCCTTGATCTTTTACGTTGTACCTATGTATTGTAGTTTGAAATACATCTCTCAATAACATTCATATAATAGACCTAATCTTCATTTCTGTAGGCTTGACTTCAGGTCATATTGCCTTTAAAAGACCTTGTCAAATTGTTTAGCTCTGCACAATTCTCTCTTCAAATTTTCACGTTATTGTAGGGAATGTGCTAGTCAGTTTTAGGAATTTTTCTTAGAGGTCCAATCTCACAAAGTTCAAATGAATCTTATGGGCTCCTTATGAATGGCTGAGCACCTTGTATGATTGATTTAAAAGAAATCAACTTACATTCCGGTGGAACGAAGAATGATTTTCACATATATTGTGTGGAAGGTAAAAGTAAGATTCATTTGGGACCTGAATAAAGTGGATGTTTCAGGTGTTGCTTCTTTTAGAAGACACCTTAAAGAACAGCTACTCAGCTCTTGACCTAGAGAAGCTTTATCTTTTGAAATGTTTTTCTAAGAGCCTTAGGCAAATTATAGCTTAGCATACTTGCTTCTGTTGTTCAATCAAATTTAGGATGTTTTGAGCTGAAGCCTATTCAGAAGGAAGCACAGTGTGCTGAATTTACTCTTGGTGTAGGCTGTTGGTGTCAGCAGAGTTGCACTGCTTGTGATTTGAGCTCTTGAGAAAGCAATCTGGAGCACTGTAATACAAATGCACTTACCTGTTTATAAATATATGCAAATACTGATCTTTGGGTTGTTGATTAATGAAGCCAGTTAGTCAGTTTCTTTTGGTCTTTGTGATGATTTTTTTCCAACCTTGTATTTTTGCATAAACAGTAAATGTTAGCAAGACCCAGTTGTACTCCTGAACACTTCATCTTAAGTCAGTGATGCTTGCAGTGGGATACTGAATTCTGTTCACTTCTGTATTGAACCTTTCCTCCACTCTTACCAGACTGTGGACTTGACTGTTGACCTTCCTCATTACTGATGGGGTGACATCTGGAGTGGCAAGTTGAAGGGTTGCATTTTGTTGTTGTTTTTTTTTCTTCTTTGTTTTTAATTTTATTACTTATTTTTATATTAAACTTACAATGATGTGCTTAAACCATTTTTTACTAACTTTCATTTCTAGAAGTGGCGTAGATCATAACCAGAGGTGCTTGAGTTAGGTTGCATTGCTCCATCTGTAATTGAAGGAGGAAGCAGTTCCAGGGAGCATCCAGCTCCCTGGTTTCTCTTTCAGGTGTCTGTAGTTGGATAAGGTGATCTGGGCCAATAGACAAATTGTTCTTATCAAGTAATTGTTTCACATGTTTTAAATGAGTTTTTGAGAGTGAGGTAAATTAGTTCGTCTATCTTTTATCAGGGCATAACAGTCTCTGTGCAGCTGTGTCTACCAGTCAATAAAGCTGAAGTGCTATTTCAGTTATATATATAAGCTTAGACCTTTTCAGTCATAAATGTTAATGTTTTCCCTATTTTATGGAGGAAAGATTAGAAGCACTCTTTACCTCTCCAAAACTGTATGTGAAGATAGTGGTTGAGTGTTTCCCTATGCTTGCAGGGTATGGGGGTGAAGGATTTAAACCCTGAGGAAACAGCTAATTTTTCTCTAATAAAGTTCCTATTTACTTAAAGACTTCCTTGCTTGCTGGTTAGGAGCTTTTTCAAGGAAACTTTCTAGCTTTGCTTAATTCTTCTTAGGCAGCCCTATAATGCCTGGGAGGCTTGGAAAGAGGCTGCCCCCTCCCTCTGTCCCCTGGAAATGCAGATGGTGATGCTGGACTTGGGTTTCCTAGGCAGGAGGGATGGCTAGATCTAAGAGAACTGAGAAAAGCTGGTCTGAGTCGTCATCTTTCCTTCTCTTGATGGTAGTGACTCTAACAGTGGAGAAAGAAACTAACTGGTACATAATTTAAGTGTGTTTAATTTGCGTGAAATTAGATGAATTGAATTTAACAAATTTAATTCTATTTTAAATGTTACTAAATATAGTTCAAATTTCCTACTATTTGGCTTGGTTTATTCAGGTGTCTGTGCAGCGCAAAGCATTAAATCCAGACCTTGTTGGTGATGCTTAGGATTGAAATGTATGAATAGATATTTTATAAATAAATGTCTTTAATCTGTGGAAAAAGGCTGCTGGGAATTGATAATATCATCTTCTTTGTGCACGATTAACCAGCAATGGGGTATGCAGAGGGAGTATGGCAGGCTTGTGGATTTCTTCAGAGTAAGAGCCTTCACTGCTTTTGTGTTTTTTCACAGTTTTAAGGTGTATTGAATTGAAGTAAACTTCAGGTATTACACAGTGCTCAGCTCAGAATGTGGCTGTGTTTCTGAAATAAGTCACAGGCTAAACTGTCTTTGAAATGAAAATGTTGTTAATCCAGTGTAAGACTAATATGTCCCTAAACAGCATTAACCAGTAGTGCTTACAGATTTTTCAAGTCTAATGAAATGTGCAATTAAAGACATCCTAGAAATATAAGCAAGGGATGTGCAGTGCTTAGTAGGTTGGTTAGATTTGATCGCTAACCAACTTCAGCTAACTTTATAAACTGGGACAATGCAAATAAAACAGTTGAGGGGAAAAAAGCAATGAGAGGTGAAACAGAAAATGATGTGCACAGGGAAGTGGTAGAGTTGCCATACCTGGAGGTTTTCAAGAAATGTGGAGATGTGGCACTGAGGGACGTGGCTTAGTGGTCATGGTGGTGATGGCCAGATGGTTGGACTTGGTGATCTTAGTGGTCTTTTCCAACCTTAATGATTCTATGATTCTAAGCTGGATTTTTTGCAACTGGTATTTTATTTCATTGTTTTTGAAGAAGGAAGCACTGATATGGAGGAAGATGAGTCAATGGGCAGTGGATGTAGGTGCAGGTTTGATGCTCAAAGATAGTAGTGTATAGCCAAGCTGCCTAGGATAGAATTTCTTTGTTGTTAGGTCTCAGATGAGGACAACTTACCTTCAAGTGACACTGCTGCATCACTTCTAGATAGTAGCGAAGTGTTTGCATAAAGCAGAAAGATTGAGGAGGAGTCAGTGGGGAGGCATGGGTTTTTTTCTTCCTTTGGAAATAGCTGATTTGTCTGTTGCAGCATGCATCAGAGAAGTATTTTCTGCAACCTTACAGATAAAAGGCAGTTAGGTTGAATCATCAGTATCAATTATACTTAGAAGGGCTGAGACCATTCTATTTGGATGTAAAATATTTTGTGAACTCTGCTGCCTGTAACGAGGTGGAATTTTGTGATGTAATACCGTCTGTTTTCTTTACCCTAGTTTTCTGTTTAATGATCTATGCTTGTTTTGATCTGTATCTTTCAGGTTCTGGTATGAATCTGCTGCAAATTTGGGAAAAGGTGTGGTCGGCACCCTGCCTTGATGCTTGTGCACCAGGGTTAGTGGAGAAACTGGGAAACCCTGTGCCATCCCATTCAGTTCTGGTATGTGCCTGTCTAGAGGAGTTTAAATGAGCAAACAAATAAGAATAACCAACAAGCCAAGCCTAAACAAATAACAAAGAACCACAAAATGTTTCTCACTGGAAAGAATAGAGCTTTTTGTTGAGCGTTCTACTGATGGTTCTTTCTTGGAGTATATTTGAGCGTGTGTCTATGTGCACAATTATCCTCAGAGCTATGTTGGTTGATTTGATACTTCCAGGTATTCTGTGCATATGTGTGTCAGAGCAGAAGTGGATGCTTTTGGAAACTGGTAGCAGATATGTCATAGCTTTCACCGTGGATCACCTTGGATTCTAGCATGCTCTGTGCTATGAAGACCAACAATTTGGCAGATGCTCCAGTGATGAGAATTGTTGGGGTTCTCCCTTCCCACTCCCCATATGTCCCCTAGTCAGCTGGCTACTGTGGAACTGTGTGTGGCTTTTATTGCTGCAGAAACAAACTCAACGTTTGCATTACTTAACAGGAGCCTTGTTTTAAATTGTACAATTAATGAGTTAATCTTTGTGAATAATTGGGGATGTTTAGAGCTCCTCAATTCACGTAGCATAATGACGAAATCAAATCAAGGCTCATGTATCTTAGAGTAGATCAGCTTAGTCTTAGTATCTAACACAAAAAAAAGCTATTTCTTTAGATGGTGCACATGTGAAACAGTATAGATATCTGTCACCTGATTCCTCTGTATTCAGTGCTGTTAATGTAGCTGACTTGTGATTCTAATGCTGATCTTTTCTAATGGAGAGAAACATATATTAAAAAGTCCTTGTATTTTTGTTAAGGCTAATTGTTGTGTTCTCTTATTTTTTTTTTTCCTCTGTGGCTATCAGCTCTGTCTTTAAAAAAAAAAAAGAAAAAAAAGCAGTTCATGGCCCCTAAAATAACAGGTGTCATATTAGAATCACACAATCACTGAGGTTGGAGAAGACCTCCAAGATCATCCTTTCCAACCATCCACCTATTACCAGTATTTCCCAGCAAACCATGTCCCTTAGTACATCTAAATGGTTTTTTTAACACCTCCATTATTTCCTAATGTCCAGTCTGAATCTCCCTGGTGCAACTTGAGGCCATTCCCTCTATTCCTGTCACTATTCCATGAGAGAAGAGGCCAACCCCCACCTTGGCCAGCCTCCCTTCAGGTAGTTGTAGAGAGCAGCGAGGTCTCCCCTGAGCCTTCTCTTCTCCAGACTAAACAATCCCAGTCCCTTAGCTGCTTCTCATAAGACCTGTGCTCCAGACCCCTCGTATTCCAACATTTAATGTTGTGATGGATATTAATGTTGCATTTGCATTGGATTTTTAATTTCTGTTTATTTCATGCATGTGTGCAGAATAGGTGGATATGTTTGTTATTTGATGTGAATAATATGAGTGAACCAGGGCTAAAATGCTACTGCTTACTTGATCTATTTCAAAATCTAATCTGCATGTATTTCTGAGTTTCTCTGACAAAAAAATTGCATCTGGAAAATATTTATGCCTTAAATATACAGAAATTATTTTTGCAGCTGCTCTGTGGGTTTTTAGGACTATGTTACAACGTTGTGTCGTACTGTGAGATTATTTTCCAATTTTGAGCTTTTTTTTCTTACTCTATATTTCTTTTTTTCCTTAGGGATCCATTTCTCCGTATTATGTTCAGCGTTATGAGTTTAGCCCAGACTGTAAAATAGTAGCCTTTACAGGAGACAATCCAGGTGAGATGATTAAGTGTGTAAGATTCAGCAAATATGTTTATGTACTAAAATTCTAGATCAATACTATTAATTCTCAGATACTCCTTTATACAGTGAAAGAAGATCACGTTTATCAGCATCAATAGCTTTTTCTGGCAGCCATCCCTCACTGATTATTCTTAAATATAGGCATCTTGGATAAGTAGGGTACTGCAAATGACTTCCACTTAGCCTATTATTTGGTGGCTTCATTTGCCTCCTGATAACTTCAGTTTTTGTTTGTCTCCACCTAACAGTCTATTAAAATGAATTGCTTCCTTTTTTGACTTAGGAAATGTGAATTCAAAGCCTGCTGTTGAATCTTTTGAGTCAAAGAGGTGGGGAATAGATGTTACAGCTTTTCTTTAAGAGTTAGAGCTGACCTTTTGTCAGAGTGGTAGATCCCATTATAAAGAAAGATGTTAATGTAGGGTCACGTTTTGTAATTCTCAAGACTGTTTCAGTGCAGACAGAGTGAAGCCATCTGTTTCTCAAGACTGTGAAAGTGCTTACGTGTATTACAGGAGCGTGTCCAGGTTTGGATTGAGATACAGGATTCATCCTGGAATGTTTCCCATGAGCAGTATGGGAGATGAATGTCTTGAAAATTGAATTGATTTTTCTTGAGATTCAAATTCAGTTTAGTCCAATAGATGCATGAGTAGTCTGTAAGTGAAAGCCTTTGTGCTTTAAACAAGGCTCCACAGTATTTAAAACTTGACCATACAAAACTTCAGAGAATCCTGCAGCTCTGTAGCTCTTTGCCTTGAACGTTTTTGATTCAGTGTCAAAAATAACTCCATCACCCAAACTCTTTTACAGTGTATAGGCCAAGGCTGTCACAAGTATACTTGCCATTTATATTCTACTTTGAGATGGTGAATTCAATGTACTGTGACGTCTCATGCAGTATGCTATAATTGAGTCACACAAGTAACTTTTTATCTGGCTTCTGGTTTCAGCATCATTGGCGGGGATGAGGCTTCAAGAAGGAGATATTGCAGTAAGTCAAAAAGTATTTCTGAAAACTGTTCATGTCCCTGAATAAATAGAGTGTATGAAATGTGGAACAGTAACAAGGACAGTAGCTGTAGGTTATCAGTCAAATTAATCTGCTAGTGTTGATTTTCTGTTTATTGGCTTCATGCTTGTTCTATTTCTATCAATCTGCAAGCTGTCTGAAAGATTTTAAGTAAACTCTGTAACTATTTTTAACTAATGCTCCAGTCACTAAGGCCCAAGTCTCTGTCTAGTATGTATTTCACTGATGCGACAACCTGAAAGTCAGAGCAAGCTTCAATATGAATCCAATTGACTTAATGTGTAATTTAAAAACAATTAGTGGTGATAACAAATGGTTTTAATTTAATTTCTGTATTGCTTTCCATGCACGTTGTGATAACGCCTCAATTACTTTTTTTTTCCCCTTTCCAGATTAGCCTTGGCACAAGTGACACATTGTTTCTGTGGATCCAGGAGCCAACTCCAGCCTTAGAAGGTCATATCCTCTGCAATCCTGTTGATTCTCAAACATACATGGCACTTTTATGGTAATATCACTAGTTTTTTTTGTACGTTTGGGATCAGTAGCATATTTCTGTGTTACTGTTTTATTCCTTTTGCAAAATGATTATGAATAGAACATTCAGCATTCTGTATGATGGTCTGTGGCAATCTATTTGCATCAGTGTTAAAGCATTTGCATTGTTTAGTGTGGGTAACTGCAACTGCAGAGTTATGATGGATAGATTTTCATGGCAATAAAAAGACAAAATTATTTTTATGTATTCATAGTGCTGGTTCACAATGAATCTAAGATAGTGTATTTAATGTATAGGAATAATAGCCTTTTTGAAATGTAATAATCTGGAATGGCAGAAGCTTGACCAGACTGTACAACTTCTGTGCTATTCTAGTGGTCCAGAGGGAACATAGTGGGGCAGGTGAGGGGTTTCTTTCTCATGGAGGAGTATAATCAGTGCTGTTCAGGGACAGATTAGGCTGCACATGTGGAAAATACTGAGATTTCAAGAAACTGAACTGAGAGAATGATCCTCATGGTGGCTTTTGGCTGCTGTGATCTGGGAATGGTTTGGCTGCTGTCCAACCAAATAGAAGGAAAGAGGACCTGAAGCTATATTGTCCCCGTGTTCAGGGAAAAAAACTTACAAGTCAGAGTATTTAGGCAAATATTTACAGATACAAGTATTTTACAGATACAGTTGAAGTCTAAATCCTCAGGATTGCACACAGCACAGAACTTATTGGTGGGAGTGAATGGGGCTATTGCTTGGGAAGAATTTCAGGAATGGATGTAATTGATCCATCAGTTAGGAGTTTACAGGTAAAGTCCTCTTAAAGAAATGTTGATTCCCCTACTTGGACTGATTCTTGTATGCTGTAGTAGTAACATTGTTTCAATTATTACAAATTAGCAGGGGTATAAATGGCATTTTCTGAAGTGGAGATTTGATGGCCTTCTTGATTAAAGCAACCTGTTCCCTCTGGATCTTGAGATTACCTCTTGGTTTGTTTTTTCTAATATCACAAAATCAAACTGTAGGTGCTTCAGCAGAGCTCACATCTGCCTTTTAATTGTGATGTCTTTATCTGAATAAAGATAGGATGCTGTAGATGACAGTGGGAGCAGGGTTGTGAAGTTGAGTTTAGAAGGTTGATGTTGATTGCAAGTTACTGATTTTCATAATATGGTTTCTCAACAGTTGGCTATTTTTGAAGCTTTGTATTTAAGTTTCAATTTTTTTCTTAATTCTTCTGTTTTGACTTCCTTTGCTAATACTGGCATGGAGCAAGGCCTCATAAGTCTTACTGGACCCAAGCTAGCTCCATACCAGTACAATACTCCTGAAATCATAAATGATGTAATGCAGTGAAGAGATGCTCTTTTTCCTCCTTACAGTCATCTCACAGCTAACCTTTTATTACTATGACAGAATGCTTCTGACAGGAAGTCAGCTACCTCACAGTTCAGACATTTCTCACTACAAAAACACAGCTCCCCCAAGTCCTGCTCCACAGCCAGCACGGGCAGAGCTGATGTGTGTTCTTCTGTGCTTTGGACTCCAGGAAACAATGATAAGCCAGGTGCTGGGTTGCAACTCCTGTCCTTGGTGCTCTGAGATGTGGTAGCTGTTCAGAGCTAGATGAGTATGGTGTGACCTGCTAGCCTAGATGTAAGCCAACTCATTAGAGAGATGCAGAAGAGCATCTCTGCACTGTGTTCATCAACATGTCTTGTAAGAGTTTTCTCTCTTACCCAGTTTCTTCCTTCTCCATCTCTTTCCATAATGAAGGAAGGATAGTATAGTTTTGCCCAGCTGTCTTCAATTGATGTAATAAGCAGCAATATTACATAAAACAGCAATTTGCTTTAAAGATATAGAGCCAAATGCGTTGGAAAATGCATATGGTATGTTTGTGTTTCAGTTTTAAGAACGGCTCACTGATGAGAGAGAGGATCCGAAATGAGTGTGCTTCAGGCTCCTGGGATGACTTCTCCAAAGCTTTATCATCTACTGTTGCTGGAAACAATGGGAACTTGGGTATGAGCCTTAGCAGGACTGGGATTTCCTGAGTTTGATTAAAGACATGACTTAGTAGGAGTTGAGCCTACTTTCTACTTGAGTCATGAAAAGGATCAAGAATTAAGTTAAGATGTGCAAGGGTAATTTTTAATGTGTACTCAGAAATACTCTGGCAGGCTGAGTGTTATGATAGTATTCTTCTTCAATATTGACTAAATAAGAAAAAGGTATTTATGGATCTCTTTTGGCTGTTGAAAAGGAGTAGTGGCATCTTAACTGCAGATTGTTTAAAATGAGTAATTTCTGAAGGAGATTTGTTTTTTTTGCTGAGGATTCAAGCCATGTGGTTTAAATAGCTCCATGCTTTTTTTCCTCAGTCTTCAGTCATTCTGATCTCTTAACATTATTCTAGAATCTTGCTCTGTGCATGTGAATAAAGCAGTAATATCAAATCTTACCCAAATGTCCTGCATTTTGCCCTACATATGTTGTAAAGGCCATTTCATCCCTGGTTTTGCTCCATGTTAGGCTAAGTGAATGAAATAAAATAATTGAAAACTTTAAAAATATTAACAAACTCATGTATACAAATTTTTACATTATTTTCCTTTTGAAAATTTAACATTTTAAAAGGTAGTGAAAGATGAGCATTTGTATAATCAAGATTAATGTTTAACTGTTGTATTTGAAGTCATTGCAATCATGTTAGATCTGAGTAAAATTAATTTTAAAAAACACTGTAGGGTTATTAAGCTGTAGAATACTTCACTCTTTAAGAAAGTGAATTTAAGATGCAGTTTCTTGACACAGTGAGGTTAGCACTGATTTCATGTTTACAATCTATATTGTGTCCTGTCAAATCCAGTCTCTGGGGGGTATTAAAGTGGCCAGGCTTTTCTTGCCACAAGATGAATCAAGTCAGCTGTTTCAGAAGATAGGAGGAAGTTATTCCAGAAGTCAGACAATATGAAAGAAAAATGGAAGTTGATGAAAACCTTGTTATTAATATCAGGGATACCAGGACGCTGCCTTAGTTTAAAACTTGTGTTACAATATATTCACTTGGATAACTCAGTCCTCTATAAAAATGGGTGTTTCATGAAAGCTATCCTTCAGTTTTGATAACTGATAACCTTGCATGACTTCTGGGTTATTTGGAGATATTGTAAACATGTAAAAATATAGGAGTCTCTGATTTCCTGAGCAAAGCAGAGTGGAGAAGAGCCTGGTTCGGCTTCCTCTCTTTTATCCCTTCTTCTCAGTGCACTCTGAGCAAGATGATGCCTTTGGAGGCTTTGGAGATGTGGTGATGAGCAGAGGCAGCTGCTAGGGTGAAGTTTTTTGGGGGGTAATGCTCATTTGTCTTCTAGGGCAGCATATCCTCATTCTGAAGACTTGAGCCTTACAATCTGTTCTTAGTTTCCTAGCTACTCTGATCAGCTTTCCAGTTCTTGTTGTTTTTTTGTCTCCCTTCCTGAATATCTTTTCTGACCAACTTGCCATCAACACAAAGGAAATCTTTTTCATACTTTTTGTCTAAGTGTCTGCAAAGCATTGCTGCATTTCCTTAGATCTCATAAAAACTATTCAGAGACCAGCTCTGCTTTGTGACTTAAAATATCTGATGCTCTCTAATAAATTCATGAAATCTAATCCAGTGCATGGAATGTTCTGCTATTCCTACACACTTCTTACAAACCTCTCTTTTCATTTTTTTCTTTCAACTTTGCACATAACTTACTGAAACTATTTCTATTATATATTATCTCAGTACTGTGCTACTTGCATATGTACATGATTTGGTGGATGAGAACTTTTTTGGTAGACTTTTATTATATTGCTTAGATTTCTAATGAAGTGTTGGAGGCCTAGAGCTAGCCTTTTTTGTAAAGCCAAAAGTAATTAAACTTATTAAATCTGGACTGAAATTAGTTAAGAAACAAACTGTGTGGTATATCAAATGTCTTTCTAAACATAATGATATGTATTTATTATTTCGGCTCTGTGCTGAAATAAGATTACAGCTTTGAGGGAGGAGAAAACATGACACTCTTCAATGTTAACTGATGCAGGTTTCTACTTTGATGTGATGGAAATCACTCCTGAAGCAGTTGGGATTCACAGATTCAACAGCGAGAACCAAAAGGTAGTGATAATCTAGTTATTCCTAAAACCTTGAAGGTGTGCTGCCAAAGCTTGAAATGTTTGCTGTTATCTCTTTTCTTGGCTGAGATGCTCACTTCCAAGTGCCTACTGTTTAAATGAATGCTTAGTTGCTTCTTGCTGTTACACAAGTTCATAGGCACTAATTGTAGTACTGGAAAAACTCAACTTTTTTTGTGAAACGTTCTTTGCTTTTTTAGTTCAGTGTTTTCCCACTTCTGCTAGTTTTCATCTGGTTAACAGAGGACTGAAAGATGCAACTTGTAACAACTAACAAAAAGCTTGTTTCACTTTTGTGCAGACAGAAATGCATAGATTTAAACTCTCTGGCATTGCTTAAAGCGTTTGAATTTCATATACTTTAATTTTTCAATTTTTGAGGTATTGATCCTCAAGCAGCCTTTGGTGTTGAGAAATACTAATAGTTTACAATTCACACTAGTACCTCTTTCCATTCTGCATTGATTTCAGGACTGATGGATTTGCCAGCAGTTCCAAGGTTACGGGTTGCGTTTTTGAGTCTTTATGTGTCTTATGCATACGAATAGAGAACTGGCCTAGCTGGAACCTGACTTCGGATTGAAGACAAGGATAATGAGCAGAATAATCTGTCTTGTGCTTTTAACCTGTCACCAGCCTGGCATTTTATACTGTGTAAGATGCTGGTTAACTTAACGCATTCATTCTTTTGATACAGGTTTTGAACTTTCCAAAGGAGGTGGAAATACGAGCCTTGATTGAAGGGCAGTTCATGGCCAAGAGGATTCATGCTGAAAAGCTGGGGTATAAAGTCAGTAAGTATGCTGAAAAAGCTGCAGAACTAATGGTGATACAGTTCAAACACAGATGGGAGCTCTGACAGTAATGTCAGTATTGTGAATCGTGTCCTAAAAGATGCAGAAACTGGTATGACTTCTGAATGAGCCTGCTGGAAGCATTTTTGACAGGATTCTGGGGACAAGTTTTTGCAGATGTTAACTTCAGAAGCAGCAACGATTAAACTTTGATTACTTCTTTTCAAGTATTCTTGCTATTTGTTACTAAGCTGCACTGTCAATTTTTAAGCAAGAGCTTGGACTTTGATAGCTTTGTTAAATGAAAAAAAAACTAGGCTTCTGCCTAAGGCACCAGGCTGTAACTCAGAAAATCTGAAATCTATGTTCCTGGACCTGCCATAAGATGCTCACTTACCTCCAGAGTTTTCTGCTAGTGAAACAGAAGTCATTTTCCTGTCTTGTGATTTAGAAAGGAAAAGACCTTGCACTCCAGAATTTTTAGTGCAGCAAAATCAGCTGGTATTTTACTTACAGAGGTGGGAGCAGATCACTACTACCTGTGTAATTCAAGGGGAAAAATACAGGAAATTTGAGAAGCTGTTTTGTTTTTTTCTTTTCTGCCAGTACATCATCCAGCAGCATCTTAACAACACTTAATTAACTCTTTTTGAGGGTTTTCTAAAATAATGATTTTGCAAAATAAAACGGTGGTTATTCATACACTTGAAAGCAAATCCTGACCTCTTTCTTTACAAGCCTTTTACTTTCTCCAACCTCTATGCTCTTATCCACAATCATGAGGGATACTGTTGCGACTTTGTTTTTCTTCTGTACTTGAAACAGTATTTAATTGTGGAGGTTATTTATGCAGACAGATTCAAATAGATTGTGTTTAAAATACCTATTTCTACTCCATTCATAGATTAGGCTTTACAGTATGGTGGGCTTATGCAGCTAGGAAGCTCATGGTTGAAGAGGATACATTTGTACTTCATAAATGTCAGGGTTCAGACAAACACAGTCAGAGAAGAACTATTTAAGATGTCAGGCAACTCTGACATGGGAATGGGTGGGTAGAAATTATCTCTACATATGTTTAGGCTAAGTAGGGCAGATGAAAACCTCACTAGTTGTAGGATTGCATAAGCTTTAAAAGCACGCATACCTTTTTTAAAAACTTTAGTGTTGTAGGATCTACAGCAAAAAGGAGATGTGTGATTACATTGTTTTCCTTTAGATTCCTTGGAACCTTGTATGCCTTTGCTTTGTTTCATCCCAAGGGTCTAGCTATTTGGTAACTAACAGATGAGTTGCTTTGAGAAAGAAGTGCTGTACGTAGTGTAGGCTGTATGCATCTCCTACTTTTCCTTAGTGGTATTATTTAAATGTCATCTTCTGTTGTTTGTGTGGTGATGGCAAGCTTGCATCTGCATTTGTTGTGTGACAGCTCTGAAAACAGGGTGTGTTCTCAACGTTTTTCAGGGTATGGATGAGCTCTGTGGGAGTTACTCTGATACTATCAGGCTTTCTCTTGTTTCATAGCTATAGCTGCTGCTTTTCAGGCTGCTTTTTTTGGCTTTAATGTGATTAAATCTCATTTACTTTTTGTATGAAAGATGCAGCCAGGATCCTTGTGTTTATTCAATTCTTTTTAGGCGTATTCTACATGGGGAATTTACTTTCATTTTTCCAGGAATCAAGAATTGCATTCACAAATACAATTACAGCAGTGTAAATCTGTTGTTTACATCAGTAAGAGAATACTTTACTGTGAGTAATAACTACTTGCAAAATCTAGAAGGTTAAGTGATGACACTTCTAAATCTATCTGCAACAGAAGATGGAAGTGATATGGTCAGTCACAACAAGCACTTTCTGAAGTCATCATGAGGTTTACGTGGCACCATCTCAAATGAGCAAATGAGCCAAAAACCTGGCTGAGGATTTCTACAGCTCTGGCATCAAGGTGCTGCAAAGTCATTTTTGCAGAGTTGTGAACCTGCCTCTCCATTCCTGGGCCAAATGCACTTTGGCTGACTGTAATTGTCAAAAGCTGCAGGTATGCCAGAAAATGGTGTGGTTTTTTTTTTTTTTTTGTGGAAGAGAATTTTGTAGAAAATACTTCTTTCAGAGTTCTTGGATATGTGCTGTAAACATTACTTATGTTAGATAATTTTTTAGAGTTTATTTTCAGTTAATGAATGTATTATCTTGCTAGTAGAAGTACTTTAAAGCTTCTCATTCTACCTAGCTCTGCAGGAAGAGGTGCAATGATGCTGAAGTATTGTTTTACATGTGAGATTATGCAGTAAGTTTGACACGTCCAATACATTATAGATCTTTCACGAACTATGAAGAATAGTATACTAAGCCTTAAAACAGCTCTTAGCTGCTGTGTATGTATACAGGCTTCAGTGCAGCTTGTTTGCCAGTAGAGGGCAGGGGATTCTGTCTCATGATTTTTTCCTTTGAAACTGGGATGTGTGTTTCCACCTTGTTCTGAAAATGGCAGGGAGTCACGGGATGATCTTTGAGAGAAAAGTTAGACCTTACATTAGTTGTGATTTGAGGGGTTTAAAAGTCTGTGTCACTATGCTCTAATTGCTCTAATCTTTCTCAATCAGATTTCAGGGGAAATCATTCAGTAACACCCTGTATCCTGTTTTGCTTGAGGGTTGGATAGAGTGTTGTGATCTAGAAACAAACAAGTGATGTTTGGTCTGTGCCTGTTGTTTACATCCTCTCATTCAGAGATCCATGCAGATAAGTTGAAGGTTTGCTGTTATGCTTTTATTTTCCTGGATTTTGATTGTATCATAAACACCTTCTGTTTTATCACATCCTTTTTCTGCTTGCAACCATCCTCTTTTGAAAGCCAAGCTCACAACTGGAGTTCAGACACTGATCATATAGCTGTGCTTGTTGCCTATTTTGGGAACCTTTTGTAATAAGGTACATACACGTTTCTTTGGTCAAAACCATGGCAACTTCACAGAGAGATGACGACGTCTGCAGCTCAGTGACACAGGTGATCACAGCAGCTATAAAACTGTCAGTGGCTCAGAGTGATCTGCCACTGTATACTTTAATAATCTTGATGATCACTTCAGTGTTGATTCTACTCCTGACTCCTGAAAATTCATATTGATGCTGGGCTGGAGAACATCACGATGGTCCTTGCTTGCACCCAGTGAAGCTGTACTGGTGAACACCTGCAAAACTCATGATTCTTGGGAGAAAATCTTCTCTCCTGGTCACCAGTTAGTGAAGTAAATACTACAGAAGAAAATGGTACAAAGTTGGGGTTCTGGCATTGGTTACATGTACAAACAACAGATATTTAAATGATATGCTGGTATATTGATGGCAGTCTGAGCAGTCTATATGTACATATGAGGTCAGATGTGCTAGAGCTGTGAAGCTGCAGCAGCAATTAATGAACCCTGCCTTGTAGGTAGGATAATTATCTGGGATAGGGGGTTGTCTTGAAGCTGTTAGCTTTAGTCCAGGGCTCAGTGTTCATGTTGTTTTACCTGCTAGTGGCTTCTTAACTCTGTAGCTGCCCACTGTGCCGATTGTATTACATTTTTTTAATACCTTTAGCAATCTGATTCTGCCACCTAACTGTCATCAGCAGGGGGAGATGGATAGAAGGTGCCAAGTTTTACAAGCCAAAGCATTGTCTATAAAATCCTGCATCTGTGTTTATTAAGTAATTTACAGTTTGTTACGTACATAAATCCATCACTTGCAAATAATGTTGGTGCCCTGAATTCTGCTGACACTACTTGGTGCTTATGTATTGGCTGGGGTGACGCAGACATGTCTGTGTTTTTTGCACTGTACTTCTTTTTTTTCCTTAAGTGCCACATGTTACTGGTGTGTCAAGTGTGAAAATGCATCTTTCTCATTGAATATACAACAGGATGCATCCTTAAACAAAACAATAGTTAAAGTGCTAGGCTAGGAAAATGAGGAAATTTCAGAGCACTCCAGGCCTGAGTTTTCAGTAATTAGAAAACAGGTGTTTTCACTTTAAAGAACTCAGCCTAAGATTACATAAAGGCAAACTCCAGGTTGCTAGATTTGGTTTTTGTTTTTTTTTTTTTTTCAGGAGTTGTGTTCATTGGGTGCTCATTGCTGCTGGTTGAGGGTAGCAATAACATGTGGCTCTTTGTCTGCAGGGAAAGCAGCCTGGTGGAACGAGGGGAGCTCAGAAAACAGCAATTAGTACAATGTGGAGCTGTTGTATTTCATTGTTCATGTTGTCATGTGGGGGCACGGCAGCCTGAAGGTGAGGTGTGAGGCTGTCACTTTGCAGCACAGTGGTGGTCATCTTGATGGTAGGTTGCTCCAGTTTGGCAAGGTGAGATGCCACTGATTGTTGAGACACTCAGTGATAGCTTTGTGTTAGGCTGGTGATTGTCTCTGCATGGATTCTAGGATTGTAGCCTTCAACTCTGTTGCTAATTATTGGCAGCTTTGGGGTACTTGTTCAGTCTGTCTGTCCTCACAACTGAGTATGTTTCTACTCGAGTTGTAGCAGTGTTTTGCCTGAAACAAGGAACACTGCGAGCGAAGCCATTTTGTAGTTGCATACAGATTAAATTGATGTTTATGCCCTGCGGGATTTAAATTTCCTGGAGAAATCAATACTAAAATGTTGTGCTGGCTTTATGCTTGTCTCTTGCTGTTTGCTGCTAAGAGTGCTGGTGGTGTTTCAGCAGCACGAGGGTGATGGTGTTCTTAGAGCTTTTTTGCTCCAGAAAGTGAGTGAACATAGTTGAAAAAATAAGAGGAGGATGAAGTTTAAAATAGTGAATGGTAGTAATGCTTGGATTGAAATATGCAGAAAAACTGTGAAATATGTGGTACAAACAGAACACAAATACCCATGCCACTGTATCTTTAGCCTGGATTTTGAGGGAGAAGTGTTGTCTTAAAGTGCTTTTGTATTCATCAAAGGCAGGATCTTCCTCCCAGATAAGTCAGTGATTCTGCTGTAGAGGATATTTGTG